TGCTGCAGCAATCTGGACACATCTCATCTTCAGGTAAGTTACATTCCCAAGGATGAAGAGATGACAGGGAAGAAAAGAGAACACAAATACGTAAAATGACATATTCACTCCGAGACACAGTATGGATCTGCATGTCAGGTGGGACCTAGGAAGGAGCACTTGAATTGCCCTGGGGAACTGTACCACATCTTTCCCCCCTTTTGAGAACTTCTACAGGACAGTGGAATCGAACTTGGGCATTTTGGATCTGAGCAGAAGAGGGGTAAAATCTATCTGGCAGACAGTGTGGATGAAAGATTAGATGCACATATGGCTAGGACAATCCAGGAAGGTCTCTGTGGAGTCAAAAGAGATATAATGAGGGTAGAAATAATTCAAGAAATCAGGCATAGAAATGTGGAAAGTGTGCTCTGCTTCCACCCTGCCTTCAGCCTAGCCAGGCTGTCATGTCTCTGACCTGGAAGGCTGCCTTGGTCTCTTAGCTGCCCCCAGCACTACCCCGTCGCTCCTCCACAAATGAGATGGAGGAACGTGCTAAATAAAGAATTTAGTTCACATGACCCCATATTTTAGACACTTTTCTGCCTTCCTAAAGTCCTAAAATAAATTTCATTCGCTTTATAAGACCGGCCCTGTGAACCTCTGAAACTTCATCTTACCCTAGCCTGCTCTACCCCGTGCCGTGCTCCAGGCACAGTGGCCTTTGTTCAGTTTCCAAATGGACCTAAGGGGTCATCCTTTGTTGGTTTCCACTGTATCAGTCCTCATTCTTTCTGCTTGTCTTGCTTACTGGCACGTGTGTGTGTGTGCGTGTGCATGTGTATGTGTGTGTATCTGATTCCCAGCTGAGTACAAGCTCCCAGAGGGTACAGATATCATCCACTCGTCAACCATTGTATGCCCAGTAATATAACAGGTGCGCAGGGAATATTTTTACAGTGAGTGAAAGAACACTGGTAAGGCAGTTTTATCAGGACTTGCTGACTGGTTAGAGAATGCCATTGTGATTTTAAGCTTCCTTCTTTGGGAAACAGAGTCCATTGTACCAGGGTTCATCATTGGGCAGGAGCAATGGGATTGAGACGAAGAAGCTGCATTAAATTTGGGTGGACATGCGGCCTGTAGGTATATGACAGCCAACCAGAGGGGACTGAGAAGCACAAAGCCCGGAAGCCACGTGCACATGTAGCTTAGTGGAGAAGCGGAGGATGGGAAGGAGAACGGGATCAGCAGTGAGAGCTGGAGCCTCTGAGTGACTGTATTCCTTCTAATTGCATTTTCACTGTTCCTACCCAGTTTTCAAAGAATATCCCCATAGCGAAGTCCCCCTGGTGTTGAAGAATAATGCTGAATTTAGCTTTATTAATAAAGATCATTAGTAAGCATAAACCTCACCCTGCTGTGTCAAATGCTTTGAAAAATAAGAACAAAATATCAATTAATTTGCTCATTCTTCTCTTTCATAATGAGCCCTTTGGAAATCACACTACACAGGAATCATAATCTAGGATGTGACACTCATCCTTTTTCTATGAGAAGATAAAGTATTTGCTATACTCCTCACATTATACTGCAGGATGCTGTAAATCAGAGAGACTAAGGCCTCTTTCCAAAGTATGTGCAGGAAATGATGTGAAAGCTGGATATCCCTCATGCTGGTCAGAAGATTTATTATTTAAGCATGGTTTAAAAAGTCAACTGTGATGAACTTCGGTTACAACCAGTGACGTAGCTAAAATGTTATTCTGAGAGCTTGGAAGGAATGAGAGTGTCCAGGCTCCATACACTGAGCTTATGACTTTGAGCAGCCATTCACCATGCATCTTGGTGACAGGGTTTAGTCAATCCCTTGGGCTCAGCTACCTTCCCAGGCCACAGTGCTACTGTGAATTGTTCTGCTAGGAAACATATGCATTTTGTAAATCAAATATGAAAGAAAGTGAGTTGGTGCTTTCTAGCTGTTTGTATTGTGTTTCATACAAACTTTGATATTTCATCCTTTGTGAAATTAAAGATGTACAAAAAAAGAAGATCAAAATCTTCAGCTTCCATCAGTTTTCAATGGACTGCCTTGAGAATTGTATTTTCAGGTCACTGTCCTTTTAAAGAAAATTATTGTTTTCTGATGACTTCACTATGACTTTATTGTTGTTTATCACTTTACAAAATTGTTGTCCAGTACCTGGTCATCTCTCACAGTTTCACAGAAATGATGCTGTTGAGAACTCAGGTCACACAGAATTCATCTGCAGCTCAAAGGCAGAATAATGCATCCCATATTGGACATAGCATTCACACCACTGCTCTATATAAAGCCAGGCTGAAACATTTATTAGCTGTGTGACTTCATATAGGCATCCTGACCCCTTGGAATTTCATTTTCTATAGATATTCAGGGGAAGTAATTATTCTTACTAAGCCTGCAGTGGTAAAGAGCAAATGAACACATTTCTAGAGCTACTAACATTCCCGAACTTACCAGAAGGTAAAAATTACATTTTTTGATTTTTATTGCTATTGTTATTACTTTGTATTTTGGCAGTTCTGGAGGATGAACCCAGTGTTCGCACTGAGCTACATCCCCAAACCTTTTTTAAAGGATTACTATTTTTATATTGAGACAGTATCTTACTAGGATCCTAAGTTGCACAGGCTGAAATTATACTTGTGATCCTCCTGCCTCAGCCTCCCTGAGTGCTGAGATTACAGGTATATACCGCGACACCCAGCTAACATTACATTCTTAGTGTCTATATTATCTTTCTCAATCTTGGGTTCCACAACAATATGAGGGAAGAATGTCATCCCTCTTTCCTCTCGATTTTTCAGATTAGTTTCTTTATAAATCAATGCCCTCTCTCATCTCCTTCTGTCCAGAGTCAGAACAGAATATGGATGTCTTAACACACCAAGTTTTGTTTAGGCAGAAACATTATCAACAATTTTTCTACCTCCAAAAATTAAAAAAGAAGAAGACCAATTGTCTGGTCAATGGATTCATCTGGGTTTGACTAAAATATATAGAATAATATTGAGGACACAATAGGTAAAACAGCAATAAAATATTTCTTAAGAAAACTACACAGTTACAGACAGTGTATAATTGGATTGAGGCCATTATTAAATGACGTGTGAAATTTGGACAAACCTGTCAAGAACTGCATAATCTTTGATAGTTCCAATATAAGAAATTTTATATTTGATATATTTTTTTCTTATTTGTTCAAACAAATCTGCTCCCTTTTTTAAGAAAAGTAACTCTTCTCTAAAAATGTTTAGATTCGAAAGCATACAATTACAATACTATTTTATAATATTTCACGAGTCTAATTGAACTACAATTATCATATCACTTATCACTCAGGAAATTGGAAATTATTTTAAGCAATGGTAACGTTCTCCCCTTTTTTGCTTTTACCTCTAAACACTACTTCAGATAGGAAGAAACTGGATGCTTTCGGTAGTATGAATTTCAAGTTGCTTTCTCTTATAAATTAGGAAAGAGTTGGCTAGTTTTATAACACTGACCTAATGAACTACTCTGGGTCTCTGGAATCATAAATGGTATCTCGTGTGTGTCCATGTCTCCACACTTTTATTGTTATTAGTACATTTTTGCAGTATGCGCAGTTTAGAGTCATCTCGGTGAGGTGGTTTCTTTTTTGAATTGCTTCCCCTTCCTACCAAGCTCCCCGCTTCGTCCTCTAAATCCCTTTTTCCTTTTGGCTTTTTGTTGATGTTATTAATCTCAGCTCTTGTTTACGACACATAACATTTTTTAATGTTTTTATTTCCTTTCGGTAGTACATGTTCACAGTCACCTTGGGAGTGCTTACGTTTACATATTGCAGCTTGTTTAGTTCCCTTCCACTTTCCTCCCCCTCCCACACCAGTTCCCCTATCCACCGTCCCCTTTTACCTTTGGGAGACTGGGTCTCTCTATGCAGTTCAGGCTGGCCTTGAACCCATGGCATTCCTCCTGCCTCAGCCTCCCAAGTACTGGAATTACAAGCATGCACCACCACACCTGGCTCCTCTTTTTCACATTTGGCAGTATTATTTGTCTTAGCTCAGGACACACAACTGCACATTAATTAGGGTTGTTAGGTTCCTGCACATGGCACATCTTTAATCTTATTTCCTCTTCCCGTCTTCCTCCACCTCCACATGTGTACCCTTGGATCACTTTCCTACTGCAGGAGATACATTCTCTTGACCCTTTCTATCCATCCTGTATCATTTTTTTGTTTGTACTTTGCTTCACTCAAAAAAGAGACACCGTGTGGTATTTAAGTTTGTGTGTCTGATTTATTTCAGTCAGCATTACATTTTCCAAGTGCATCCATTTTCTTACAAATGTCTCAAATTTGTGTGATACAGAATGTTTACACTCATTCAGGTTATTAGGTTTTTGTGCATGATGTGTCTTTATACTAATTCTCCTTCCCTTTCCCCTCTCCTCTAGCCCTTGGTTTTCTAGACCTCTTGCTGTTTGCAAGAGATCTGTCCCCTTGCCCCTTCTATCCATCCTTTATTTTACCCCTTGTTTGTACCTTGCTTTACTCAGTGAGAGCTCCTATGTGGTATTTAAGCTGTGTGGTTGGTTTATTTCACTCAGTATTGTATTTTCCAGGTGCATCCATTTTTCTGCAAATGTCTTGAATTTATCCTTCTTTATGGCCAAGTGGGACTCCATTATGTACAGACGCCACATTTTCTTTACCCAGTCATTGGCTGATGATATACAGGCTGTTTCCAGCACTCAGCTGGTATGAATTGTGATGTTATAATCATTAGTATACAGAAATTGCTGCAGTGTGATGTCTTTAGCTCTTTGGGGAAGATACCTAGAATGGAGATTGCTGAGAAATTTATATGGAATTTCTAATTTCAGTTCTATGAGAAATCTCCATACTGATCTCCACACAGTTGCACTATTTTACACTCCCGCAAACAATATAAGAGAAACCCCATTCCTTGTCTTTTGTTTCAACTTCAGATTCCCAGCACAGAATAGGTGCTGAGTAAAGGCGAGGGGCAGGAATTCAGGGATGGATAGATAAATGGAGAGGAAGTAAGTTTTTCATTTTAAGGTCAAGGTGTAGTACTGGAACTGTATATGGGAGGACTCCCTCAGGTCCTTTCATTTCCCCAGACCTCATGTTGCACTAGTCCCGTAGTGATAGTCTCGGTTTAAATTTGACATGATTAGATGTCTCGGGGGGATTTGCACCAAACATGTATTGAGCAATATGGGCCTCAGTGTACTGAGCTGATCTCTGAGGTGGAGTCAATCATCAGTGTCTGTGAGCCTTGGAAAGATCACTTTATCTATTTCTTCATCTCTACAGTATAGATACATAAACTCTGGGTGGTTTGCCTCCAATAATTCCAGAGAAGACTGACCTAGAATACAAAAATAAAAATAAATGTATCATTTGCTGCACAAATAAATAATGTTATTGTTTTGCAGTTATCCGGGTTTTTTCCCTACTGTAAACCAGATGTTTCTAGCATTAGTAAAAGTTTCAGAAGACGGCCTCAGATCCAAGAGTGACAACAGGGGACCCTTTGTTCTCTCTTTTGACAGCTTTAATGATACAGTCCCGGGAAGGTTTCACCTGATTCTGGGAGACAGAGACCACATCCTTACTGTGAAGGACTGTGACCCCAGGAGTTTTGTCAACCCAGCTGTGCAAATTCACTAGGTTTTCCTAGCCAGCACAGACAGAGGATCCAGAAGAGGTCCAGGAATCTGAATCACATCATTAGGTGCTTTCGCAGTTTGAAGTGTTCATTTCTGCTTCCCTGACTTGTGAAAGAAATTATTCTAAGTGACATTGAATAAAAGTAAATTTTGAAAAGAGAAACAACACCAAGCAGATATTAGAAAGGTAACTGCTCACGATTCTCTCTGTTCAGCTATAGCTCTTTCTCTGAGCATTCACTCCAGCGCGTGCTGCTCTTCTGTCTTTCTCCATAGGATTCACATTGCTTTCCAGTTCTTTCTCCTCTTCATGCTTTCTTTGCTGATGTACAGCCTGTTTTCTTTCTACAGTGCAAGCCCATGGGAACAGTAAAAAATTGGTAAAAAAAAAAAATGGTAAAAATTTGGTAAAACAATTTATTGCTTCTTCTGATGGAGCAAATCCAAGTTAGAAATTGTATATCTAACTATGTAACAAACTCCCCATTTGAAAGAGAGGTAAGCCCTCACAGTTAAAGACTTTCTTCAGCAGCCAATGTGTCTAGAAAGAATTCAGTGTGATAGTTTCCTTCCCATTCAGTAATCTGTGCAGTCACCTCCCATGCCATATGAAACTTCTCTACTTAACGGCAGTACTACTGTTCTTCCTTTAAAACACAGAGCACAGGCCTTTCAGATACTGAAAAGCTGAAACTGAGCAGCAATTGCTGACTTCTTGTGAGGGTTTTCTCTCTAGTATTTCCAGCACCCGTAGAGTGAGGGTATCAAAACACTGAGGCATCCAGTGTGTTAAAGAAAAGACCATCTCTGAGGAAAAAGTAAACCTGGGTGAATTGGACAGCTTTGCTTAGCATCCTACTACTTAAGTGACAGAAATCTTCTCTTTCCCTATTGAATGTACCATAAAATAGTGCTAGACTATGTTAAACATAAAAACCCTCTCTTACTTTTACAGATGTTCAGCACACTCATGATTCCCACTGTACACCATCAAGTGGGCCATTTATTAATAATCTATCTGTTCTAAAAATTGGGTCAATTTAGCATTCATAGTTACTTTCCTTTAAACTGTTCAGCATTATGGGTACAACTATAAATAAAGAATATATTTAAGATACCAATGACTGTACTGATACAATTTCTTTAGTTATCTTTCTGAAAAGCTGATTGAATTTCTAAGTATTCAGGTATCCCACCACATTGTATTTTGGTTAATTTATTTTACTGGAGAGACACGGGACCAGAGCAATTGTATGGGTATTATCAGTACCCGTGGTGCCCACATGTCCCTAAAACAGTCCCAGTTTGTTTGTGGTTTTAGAGTGATTTATAGGAGTGTCACCTTCATTCTCTAAAATGACCCATTAGAGATTATATAAATCATCACGTGGTGGTACTACCAGTGATTTCAGTCACAGTGGTGACAGTGGAGTAGGTTTTCAGTGGTGCACAGAGTCTTCCCAGTGTGCTAGAAGGAGACGTGCCCATTCCAGGAAGGAAGGGAAAGGAAACCGTAATCTCAGGAGTCCCAGAGAAATTATCCAATGTATTAAACTTCTCTTTGCAACTTTAAATCCTAGCACTGACTTATAATAATCATGTGAAGTCTTTTTCCTGGGATATGTACATTCTGAAAATAAGAAATGAATGTGGGCTCATACTGTTCATACGGTGTTATGTTCTCTATGTATTATGTATTACATTCAACCTTGGCGAATGTTTGATAAGAAGGAGGCGTTTTTAACCCTGACAATAACTGTTTCCCAATATTATGGAATGAGTCACTATTTATTTGACCATTGAATTATGAATATTTGTGAAATAAATATCTGGTTTATGATAAACTGCATATTCATGGGTGCCCAGGGAAAACAGCACTAGCAAAGCAAATCGTCTCTCCCTTCATATGAATTATGTTTTATAAGGATGTCCAGATGGAAAATTAAGTATTGATACAAACATATAACTAAAGCCTGTAATTACAAAGGACATAGAAAAAAGCAGTTATGATTATAATGGAAAATAGACTACTTCCGCATAGTGTTATACATAGTGTTTAAATTAATATATCTGTTCATAAAGCAATGTGCATAGCTCTGATTATTTCTTTTGGATGGATTCCAATGGCTGAGATTCTGAGAAGCAGAATTTGGCATCAAAGCATGCAAATATCATTTTGTTTTTATTTTAAATGCATATTTTCAATTTCTTTCTGGAAAAATTTTCCATGTATACTTTCACCAGCAATGCATATGACTATATATGTCAAAACATAGTTTGCTGCTTCAATCATTTTACAGTCCAATTTTTTATTTATTAGATTTGTATTTAAATCTAATATTTCTTACATTTGTTAATATTCTGTAACTATCTTCTGTGAAGTACTACTTTGGAATATTCTCTGACCTCTTTTGAGGTGCATTAGGTTATTTTTATTTTATATTTATGAGCATTTCTTCTTTGCTAATATTATGAACATGATGTTTAACTGTTGCTGAGAACATTTTTTTCAATTTGATGTTTGATATTAGATTTGTGTCTTTTTATTAATATATACTAAAAAGCTATGTCACTGAATTCCTTATAATACTTTTTCATTTGATTTCTATCATTGGTTTTGTATTAAACCTTTCAAATTAATTTTTGTGTACTGTGTGACATGAGGGTCAAATCTTTTCATGTGCAATCCAATTGATGCAGGTTCATTGATTGAAAATACCATCCTTAGTAGTCATTCTCATAAAAGTTGTCCTTAATAATGATTCAATTAAAAATAGACCATTTACATTAAATTATTATGACACCTTCTCTGAAAATTAATTAACCATATAAATGATAGTTTATTTGTAGGTTCTCATTTTGCCAAAGGCCCCGGGGTCCTAGATAGCTTACCCTGGGCTCCCATTTTGAAGTCAAACACTACAAGCATTTCATTGTTTAATTTTTAAATTTCAACCAAACTTTCACTCTTGAAATAAACTCCACTGGATCATGATATATAGTAGCTCATTTTACGTATTGCTATTTTGATTAGTTACAATTCATTGATTTTTGCACTGATATCAATGAAGTGCTTTGGACTCTCCTTTGGATTTTTAAATTAGCTTGTGTGAATACAGCATTGAGAAGACTCTGTCCTGTTACAATGACTTGAGAAGTGGTCCTTCCTCTGGTGCTTTCTGGGACTATGTAGAATTTGTATTCTTTCCACTTGAATTGTCTGTTAATAGTCACCAGTAAAGCCACCTGGGCCTGGAGTTTCTTTGATGAGAGGGCTTTTACTACAATTTTGAGTATTTACTAAATATTAATCTGTTCAGGTTATTTGTATGTTATGGATAAAGTTTTAATAGCCTATGTCTTTCAGCTCAGGATTGTATTTCATCCATATTAGTGTATTAATGGCATAAAGATGTTCATAATATCTCCCCATTTCTTATTTAATGGACGTAGGACATCTATAGGACTTGTGGACATTTTTTAATTCTTAATATTGTTATTTCATGTCATTTCACCTGCGGTTGTATTTATTTTTGTTTTTTCAACAGCCTGTCTACAATTTGTTTTATTACCTTTTTTAATCAGCAAAGCTTGACTTTACTGACTTTATTATTTTCTATTTCCTTTCTATCTTGTAGCTTTATTTCTTCCTTTACACTTACATTGCACTTCTTTTGGTATACTTTTTCAGGTTTTTTATCCAATCAGAAAGATCAGTGAGGTGTTGGGGATATAGCTCAGCTGCACATGCACCTGCCTGCCAAGCGCAAGGTCCTGAGTTTGATTACCGCTACCAAAAACCAACCAACCATACAAAGAAAGCTCAGTGATTCTGAATTTCCCAATGTCTTAGAGTCTTTCTGCACACTCTTGAAAATATCGAGAGGCTCAAAGAGCTCTACATTTGTTTCATTTGTCCTTATTTTTCACAATTGAAAAATCAATTGTGTATTTATCAACTCATTTTAGAAAAAATGAAATTCTTATTTGAGTTCATACTTTCTTTTGCATTCAGAGATAATCACAAGAACACCGCTTTAGTATTCCATTAAAATATTCCCTGCAGGTCCTCAAGCAGGCCTGCCACAACTGCATGCAAGAGTACCATCCCTTAGCGATCAGCTTTCAGCCTACAAAGTGTCCTCTCTTTAGCGCTTCCCAACTTTCCCCTTTGCATCGTAGGCCCAGTACTTTCAGGCCCTGCTCAAGAGTCAGCTGTGTATCTGCTCTGCTGAATGGACATCATGCCTTTGTCTTACCTGAGGGTGGGAATGGAGTATCAAATGTCTTCCTGTTCACTCTTACTAGCTCTTCATTTGAATTTAATCTTTCATGAAAACTCTGGAAAGTTTTTTGAATTCAAGTTATGTGTACTTCCTGCAGGGAAAATCTCCTTGAAGTTAAAAATTCCAAATATCTTGGTAACCTTTTTGTTACAGAAGAGAGTGAGATAGAAAAGTATAAAAACACTCAACTCCATTAGTATTTAACGAAAATATTCTGCAATATCATCTCATGAGGGAGGGGGGGAATGATAAACCTCTTCTTTATGACCAATCATTTGAGAAAATATATGGACATATTTATATATACCCAAGTACATAGTAATGGTTAAAAAGTATATGCAGTTATATAGTGATAAGCAGGGAAAATGATTGTCAGAATGAGAGAAATTGTATATATTTTGTATGGTTTATCCAGTGAAACTCTTGGTTAGAAAAGGGTATTTGAACAATGGCCTTAGAAGAGTGAGTAGCTGATCATGCAGATATGTGGGGTATGGATATTTAAATCACAGGATCAGTAAGAATAAAAGCAACTGAGCTAGAAAGGCAAAAGAAAAGGAAAAGAAATATTTGCTGGAGATAGAGCAGGAAAAAGGGTCACATCTTTGACATTATAGTCATTCATATAAATTAACAATGTATTAATACACAAATGTGTAATGATTAAAAATAAACTCCAGCAGTATAAGAACAACTCCAAAAGTATGAGTATAGCTAGTTAAGTACACTTAGTGTTTCAGGAAGACCATGTCACAAAATAAAAACCATAAAATATAGACTGGGGATGTAACTCAATATGAAGGCTCTGGGGTCAATCCTTGGTACCACACAAACACACACACACACACACACACACACACACACACACACACACAGAAGGCAGGAAGGAAGGAAGGGAAAAAGAAAAGAAAGAAAGAAAGAAAGAAAGAAAGAAAGAAAAAAGAGAGAGAGAAAGAAAGATTGGTTTATTTATTTTATTATTACTGAGTTGTGAAAGTTCTTATATATGGTGAATGTTAACCTCTTAGCACGTTTATGACTATATCAGTTTGATAAATATTTTCTGCTAAATTTTTGACTATCATTTCATTTCATTGTTTTTTTTTTGTTGTGGAAAATGTTTTAGATAGATCTTCCTACTTGTTTATTTTTATTTTTCTTGTCTGAACAGTTTATATAATTTCAAAAAAAGTCACTGTAAATGTCAATATCAAGGAGCCTTCCCCTGTGCTTTCTTCTAGGAGTTTTACAGTTTTAAATTATAGATAGGTATTTAATTGATTTTGTGTTAATCTTTATATGTAGCACAAAATAAGGGCTTAGTTTCAGTATTTTGAATGTGGTATTTTGTTTTTCTAAGTCTAGACCTTATGGATAAAATCAATGTAAATTTAGCTTTTATATTTTCTTCTTTAAATATTTTTTACCTAACTCATAAAGGGAAACTTTTACTCAATTGCAGTCCATCAAAATTTAGAACTTCTCTTAAAAATGTTTTTAAAAATGAAAAGACAAAATACAGACCTTAAAAATATTCTTATTCACATATTTTGTACTGGTCTTGTATTCATAATACTTAAACAATTTTAAATTTCTCTAATTTAAAAATCTGGGGCTGGGACTGTAACTTAGTGGTGGAGTAATTGCCCCGCATGTATAAGGTTCTGGGTTTTGTCTCCAGCACCACAAAGAAAAACAAAACAAAACCAAAGAAATCAAAATAACAAGACTACTGTGTTTAAAAAACTGAAAAATATGGGCTGGGGATTTAGCTCAGTGGCACAGCACCTGCCTAGCAAGTGTGAGGTCATGAGTTTGACTCCTGGTACCAGAAAAAAAAAAAAAAAGAAAAAAAATATGAATGACTGTATCACTAAAGAAAATATAGATAGCAAATAAACACATGAAAATGTGGGTAACAAAATTAGAAATTAGGGAAAAGCAATGAAAGCCACTTCCTTCTTATTAAAACAAGTAACATAAAAAATTAAGCAAAAATCAACAAATGTTGGTAAGAGCATGGAGCAACTAAAATGCTCATATATTGTTAGTTGTGTGCAGTATACTACAACAAGTTTGTTAAATCTTTGGCAGTTTTTTCATTAAGTTAGTAATATCCACTCAGATATTTATTGAAATTAAATAAAAACATATTCACATAGAACTATCTGTATAATTGTTGTGGTAGCTTTATTCATAATCACTAAAAACTCTGAACATATTAAAATTTTCATGAACCAGAAAATATATAAACTATGGTACATCAAGAGGGATGAAGTATTGTTACACCTAACTAAAGAGACGAATTTCAATTTTTTCCGTTCAGAAAAATATGCCACCCTTAATCCTGCATACTGCCTCTGTGTTAATCAGCTTTCCTTCACTAAAATAAAAACACCCAAGAGAAATCTATTACATAGAGAAAAGGTTGATTTTGTGATCTTTAAGCCAATGCTCTCTTGTCTCTGTTGGTTTGGGTTTATGATGATTCAGTACAGTATTGCAGAAGCATGTGGTAAAACAAAATCACTTGCTTCAATTATGGGCAAGAAAAATAAAGACAGGGAGCCTGTCGTTCCCCTCAAAGTCACAGCCCTCAAAATGGGAAGAACTCCCACTAGTCCCCGACTCTTAAACGTTGTACGCCTGCCTTCTCAATAGCACAAAGGCAGAGCTCAAGCCACTAACACACAGGCCTTCAGGAGAAATTCCAGATCCAACTTATAGTAGTATGTATCCCATTGTATGACCTGCTTTCAAACAAAAACAACTACCAGACCAGCATTTGCTCAGGGTTAAAGACCAAGGAATAACTTGAGCACACAGATATAGAGAACAATTTTCTCCTTTGTGTTGATGATGGGTGTGTCATATGATTACTTATATTTGTCAAATTTAGTAGAACTCTGCACATAAATGTATGAATATTAGCTGTGGTTTCACATGTATGTGATTGGGAGCTTGAAGCAGGAGAACTGCAAGTTTTAGCCCAATGAGTGCAACATAGTAATTTAGAAAGATACTGTCCCCAAAAAACTTTGTAAAAAGTCTGGAGGTGTAGTTCACTGCAAAAGCTTGAGTTCAATCCCCACTATATATATATAACTCAAGCTTTTGCTGTGAACTACATCTCATTGAACTACATCTCATGTATGTGTGTGTATATATATATATATATCTGCATATAACTTGTACCTCCATAAAATAAATGGAAAAAAAGTATTAAGTCACAAAACATTTTGGCATTAGTAAACAAGAGCATCCCCATCTCACACCATCTTCACAGTGGTCTTCCTGGTGGCTGCGACATTCCAGAAGGTGTGGACCCAGCCACTTGGCATATCTATGTATACTTAACACAGTATGGGCCTGCTGCCAATAACAGGCAGCTTTTCAAGCTGCCAGGATGTATTGCTCAGGTCCCATTAATCCCATTAAAAACAAGCCAATGACTTTAATTTGGATTCCTGATTGAACTATAAACTGCATTCCATCTGTTTCGTAGCCTAAGCAACAGATAGACCAGTACTTCCTGGAGAGAAATTTGCTTAAAATGTTCAAACTGGAGAAATGGGCAGCTGAAAATATTGGTGCCAAGGCTATGACTATTGGGAAGTCACCTGCAGTCTAAGTGTGAGAGGGAACATGTTTTTTTTTATGTATCTGTTCATCACTCTTAGGTCCATGTGGCATTTGCAGGGGGTACAGAACACTATGCTGATATAGCTGATAAAATATATTTATCCATTTGTGTAATTCCACTCCAGGGTGGTAGACTGTCCCAAGTGTTCCTTGCTAGAAAAGAGTTCTTAATGTGGGAATGCTTTCTAATAGGTTCCAGGTGTTCTTGTATCTTAGTTACTACTTTTCCTAAAAATAAACAAAAGCATTATTCTAGTAGGGCTACTGCTTTTGCTTTATGGTCAAAAGGGTGAAATTTGTGAGACTTGTCAGTAGTAAATAGTTACAGAGGAGGGTAAGAACTGAAGTCTGAAGTATAGACCTGTGTGTGGTGAAATAAATGATCAAGTGTTTGCCCCCAGTGAAAAGACTCTGTCTTTGATACTCTGATTCTTCTTTCCTGTGACTCACCAGAGAAGAGCCTGCGTGCCCATCCTGGCTCTTCGGGGCTACTTGGCTTACAAAATAAAGTGGAGAATGGAATGCTGAAGAAAATTTTCAGAGTATATGAAGAGAGAAGTAATTGCCTACTTAGTCTCTGTAAATAGGCAGAAAAAATAATACCATGTTTCTGTGATTTACATTCAAAATATATCAGAAAGAACCTGACTTACATTTTAATTAACTTGAGTTACTCCATACTGTGACTTTTATTGTTCTGCTCTAAATTTTACCTGAAGTCTCAGCCTGGGTCATACTTAGTATTAATTTTTGTTACCTGGGCATTCTCCTCTTTCTCACACAATGCAGTTGTTCATCAAAATATTTGTTTTACTTTTGTGATGTCTCCTAATTCTTCTCCATACCAACTGTCAATAATTCTAGGTGAGGAGATTTTTAGAACACCTTTCTAAACCATCTGTATGCCTCTGGTCTATCCCCATTAATCCTTTTCTCATAATATTGCAAGAAAAATATTTCTGGAATTCAAATTTAATCCTGATTGTCCTTGTACTGCTCCTAACAATTTTGTACAGCACATGGAATGAGATGCAAACCAGTATCTGGGTACTTTATATTTTCCATGATTTCTTTTTTTTTTTTTTTTTGGTCCCTGGAATTGAACTCAGGACCTTGCACTTGCCAGGCAGGCACTTGTGCTGCTGAGCTATATCCCCGGCCCTTACTTTTCATGATTTTGAATCATTTTCATACAACCTCTTTTCCAATCAGCACCAAGAAAAATTTATCCTTTAGAAGTCCTAAACACTGGCCAGCCTCTAATTTTTGCATCTTAATGTCTTTGAATATGTAGATCTCTTAACCTGGAATGTTTTCTCCAATTCCTGAATAAGATTTTGGGTCTAACAAAAGATTTTCACACAGATGGGTTTGATTTCATCTTTACTTATGTTCCCTGAAACCAATTCT